ATTATATTAATAGGAAACTTTCATACATCGAATCATCCTCTAATAAAAATCACTCTAGTTCCCAATTCGAGAGATTCTAATATTTTAAATTTCCTTTAGATCTCTCTAAACACGATTCAGCGTCTTTAAAGCATTTCTTAGTTCAACTGAATCGTAAAAATAACTATGGGGTGGCAAACAGTGGCCAAGACACTTCTAATGGAGCCATAAATCCAGGAAACCTCTTTCAGAACATTGGAAATACATCCAACGAGCTCTATATTAACTTCCGTTGTGCTATAAACTATATTTTATTTTTATGTCTATAACAATATCCTTTAGGAATTTTATCTCATTATAATACTTTTTATTGAAATTTATTACAGCATGGTGAAAATATAGTACGAATGAAATATTGTAATGAGATATGGTGCATATATTGAGAAAGAAGAAAAGGCATCTCCTTATCATGAAACAGATGATTTTTTTCTTTAAGATATTTTTGTTATAATAATTTCTTTGAAGCTATTTTCATCACAATGAATGTTGCTATATATGGTTATTTATTTTTAACAGAAAAGATGCTGCACATTAATCACATTTTTGAAAAAAGAGAAACCCCTAAATGAATCTTCAATTAAAATGGCATATATTGGATCAAAATATTATTTATTTTACCAATATATCAGTTGTCTGACTGGCGCTGAGTTTGATGTTGACACACATTAATATGTTTTAATACCTTGATAAAGGTTGGCGTTCAGGCAACTATAATATTGGTAAAATAAATGATAATTTGATCCAATATATACCTTTTTAATAGGGTAACCAATGTATTTAAATGATATTATTGTTATCATGTTAGAATAAAATGACTGATGTGGGAATTTCCTATATCTAAAAATGGCATATAACTTCCACAATTATGTGTTTCCCAAATTAATTTCATTTGATTTATTTTGATATATTTTAAATACGAAAGGTTGGAATTCACGTTAAATAAATACATCTTTATATTTTCAAATGAATTTGAATTGTATTCATTATATTTAACCTAACAAAGAAGTTTTAAACGCATAAACAAATTTAAATTTCAAAAGAAAAACAAATACCGGATTTTTAATTCAATAAATTTGTTCAAAGTTCGTTTAATACCTTAAAACCTTTGGATTTTATTGAGCCTGGAATTATGATATTTCATCTAGAAAGCATATCAATCCCAGAATATTGTATTCCGAATATTGACAAATTAAATTTAAAGCAATTAAATCTTTAGTATAAAATACATCATTTATTTACAGACATTTCAGTGACTGACCTGTGTTCCATTTGTGATAATAGCCGTTCATTATTTTGAATACATATCATTTACTGTATGTATATCCATAATATTATGAAAGACCTCGAATTTATGGCTTACAGAAGACAGAAAACTAAATATGAAAAATTTTATCTGTTCCAGGAATTTTTTCTCGAAAGTATAAAAAAAAATGGAAATAATTATTTATCACTAGACGAATGGCCCGGGCAATGCCCGGGTTTTACCCGAGTGCGAATATATTTTAAAAACGTTTTAATTCAAATACTATTCTTTACAATTATAAATTGGCGCCATGGATGCCACTCTTGTGAAACGTCCCGTTCCAAACTGTGTGTTTTTAAAATGTTTTTACTATATATAATATCTATATAGATAATACCGTAACTGAGTTTTCCATTGTAAAGTCCTAAGCTATCTCCTCCGAAGATTCTGAACTACACATAACGATCTATATACCAAAATTTTCGTTATTCTTTTCTTCGTATGTTAGTTCTGTTTTTATTTTCCTAATGTTAACAGTTATTTTTATTTTTTAATTTAATCTATTTTACAATCGTAGATTTTTTGCATTTATCATCATCAATTCCTTTGTTTTAAAAGCGCGTTCTTTTTATTCTAGCATTTATTTCTTTTATATATCTTTATAATTATTTTTGTTTTGTATCTTTGTAATTATATTTTGTAAGTATAAGTTTTTTTCGCCTTTACAGCAATGTCTTTATGGCATTTTGAAAATAAAATACTAAAAAAAATGCAAATATATTATTTTTTGCTTTACATGACCGTTTTATTTTTATTTTCTAAATATTAATAGATTTATTTATTTTCAATTTGTTAGATTTTGCAATCGTAGATCTTTTGCCTTCAAATGTTGTTTATCTTATATTTTTCATCATCGGATTGTTTATTTTTAAAACACGTTCTTTTTTATTATTACCTTTTACTAATTCCTAATATATATTTTGTATTTCTGATTCAATTAATTTGTAAGTACTTTGTTATAGTTTTTCATTTAAATTTAGCTCAATTTTTGTGTCTGGTTTTCTTTTTTGCAGTATCTTTCATAATGTCTTTGGCATCTTTATATTTCTCATTAAGAGGCTAATGATTTATTTGTATAATCAATTGTTGATTACTTAATTTGTTATATGATAAAGCACAATTTTAATTATAGATTATACAAGAAAATAAGACCTAATCCAAATAATTTAATAGTGTGTGACGTTTCGGCAACAGCATCAGACAAAAGAATAAATGAACTAAAGAATAAAATCTCATTTATTCTTTTGTCTGATGATGGTGACATTGCTGCTGCCAAAACATCACACACTATTAAAATATTTGGATTAGGTCTTATTTTCTTGTATTAATTTGTTATAGTTTTTTATTTAATTTAGCTCCATTTTTGTGTCTGATTTTCTTATTTTTTTTTGCAGTATCTTTCCTAATGCCTGATTTGATTACTTGCTTTGTTATAGTTTTTCATTTGCATTTTAGCTCCATTTTTGTGTCTGTCATTTTTCTTCTTCTCATAAATAGGCTGATGCTGTATTTATGTAGTCTATTGTTGTATTTTGTGTCTGGTTTCTGTTTTGCAGAGCTGCTCAGCTCTGCATTTCCCTTGGAAACTGTTGGTAGCACATTAGAAATTAATGATAAAGTACTGAATTGCTTACCAAACAGGTAGGTTTATTACAACCTTGTAAGTTTGTAAGTTTAACCCACATATATATAAAATTAGAAATGTAGTTTTTAATGAGATCTTTCAAATGAATTTATTCCTTTAATATGTTGTAATATCTGCAATATAGTTGTGTTGTTTGCACTTTCTTTTCTTTTTTTTTTTGGTTTCAAATATATTTATTTATACTTTTTGCCAATATACCTATAATTTCTCACCGGAAAGATTTTTTAAATTTTATTTGTTATTCAAAAAACTATTATCAATTATTTTTGGTCTTCTCTTTATTTACTTATTTTACTCATTGATTTATACATACAATTATTTGCATACAATTGTATACATACAATTTTCTACATTTTTGCACTGTGCAGTTTAATATGTTGTTAATTAAAGGGTTTTTAGGCAAAAATCAACTGTTGAAATTTGAATTTCAAAATAGTTGAATTATCGAAAGTGTCGAATTACAGTTTGTCAATGATAGGCCGTAGGTCGAGATATCAAAAATGTCGAATTATCGTGTGTTGAATTAAGGAGGTAATATTGTATATATATATAAAATAGAAATGTAGTTTATAATAAGATAGTGTCTGAAATATCTTTGGCCCCTTCGGATACCAACCTTCGCTTCATTCTAGAGATGCGTTAGTTTTCACTAAGGTTGGCTTTTGCTATGACTATAAATAAGGCTCAAGGCCAAACCTTGGCTACAAGAGCCTGTATTTACGCACGGACAACTTTAAGTGGCTTTTTCAAGTGTGCGAACATTGGATAGCATACATGTAAAGATGACCCATATCTTTTGCTCCTTCAGATTTCAGACTTTCATTCATTCTGAAGAGGCATCAGTTTTCACTAAAGTTGGCTTTTGCTATGACTATAAATAATATTTGGGTTCTTCCTACAAGAGCCTGTGTTTATGCATGGACAGCTCTATGCGGCTTTTTCATGTGTTTGAACTTTGTACAAAATACATATAAAGTTGAACTCATGTATGAATAAAAATATAAATTTATTTTTAATGAGTCCTTTAGATTAATTCCTTTTATAAGTAGTCTCCACTGCAATATAGTTGGCATCTCTTTTTTCTGATTTATTTTCTTATATTATTTTTTAATTTTAAATATATTTATATATAAACTTTTCAATAATGTCTATAGTTTCTCAACTCAAAGGAATTTATGTATTAGTATTTTGTTAATACACTATTATCAATTATTTTGATTTTGGACTTCTCTTTATTTACTAATTTTTCCCATTTCTCTATACATAAATTTCGTGCATTTTCAGTGGCTGCCTTCGCCTCTGTAATACCTTTTTACCGGTAAAGTTGTATTTAAACAACAATCAACCTTGTAAATTTGATTTTTAAAATGGTCGAATTATCGAAAGTGTCGAATTATCGATAGTGTCGAATTACAGTTTGTTTATTTGTTTTTCAATAAGGTCCTCTTATCTTATCTGCAATATAGTTGTATTGTTCGAAATTTTATTTTCTAATTTGTTAATTTTGTTCTTTTTTTTTTTCACTCTAATAATATTTATTTAAATCTAATAATTTTTATTTAATGCAATTTAATTAATAATTTATTTAATCCAATGTCTATAGTTTCTTCCCTGAAATTGCTTACCAAACATGAGTCAGTGTTTCCTCAGTGTTAACAGTTGGAGTGTTAGAATGCGGAGAAGCAAAATAACTCCCTACTGAATTTCTCAATAGTCTTACTCCCAGAGGAATGCATCCACACCAGTTAAACTCTAGGTTGGTGCTATTATTATGCTTCTGAGAAGTTTTAATCCTAAGCAGGGTCTTTGAAAATGGTACACGTGTGGTGATACAGTGCATGTGCTCACATGTCCTTAAAGAAGTGTAGTTCTGTTGTTTGCAATTTCATTTTCTGATTTGTTAAAATTTTTCTTCTATAGTTTCTCACCTGCGGGTCCTTCGGGTAAACCTGGGTCGTTGCCCGGGTCACTCGGCTAGTAACGGTATAATAACGGTATAAAGAAATAATGAGCCTATAGCCTAGTGGTCATGGCATCTGCCCGGTAAGCAGAAGGTCGTGGGTTCGATCTAGAGGGTTGTCTAGAGTGGTCGCTATAGACAGGGTGGTCTGTATAGACAGGTGTATGTATCACACTGCTGATAACAGGGTTGCCTAAAGTGACCGCTATAGACAGGGTGGTCTGTATAGACAGGTGAATGTAACACACTGATGATAACAGGGTTGTCTAGAATGGCCGCTATAGACAGGGTGTTCTGTATAGACAGGTGGATGTAACACACTGCTGATAACAGGGTTGTCTAGAGTGGCCGCTATAGACAGGGTGGTCTGTATAGACAGGTGGATGTATCACACTGCTGATAACAGGGTTGTCTAGAATGGCCGCTATAGACAGGGTGTTCTGTATAGACAGGTGGATGTATCACACTGCTGATAACAGGGTTGCCTAAAGTGACCGCTATAGACAGGGTGGTCTGTATAGACAGGTGAATGTAACACACTGCTGATAACAGGGTTGCCTAAAGTGACCGCTATAGACAGGGTGGTCTGTATAGACAGGTGGATGTAGCACACTGCTGATAACAGGGGTGTCTAGAGTGGCCGCTATAGACAGGGTGTTCTGTATAGACAGGTGGATGTAACACACTGCTGATAACAGGGTTGTCTAGAATGGCCGCTATAGACAGGTGTATGTATCACACAGCTGATAACAGGGTTGCCTAAAGTGACCGCTATAGACAGGGTGGTCTGTATAGACAGGTGAATGTAACACACTGATGATAACAGGGTTGCCTAAAGTGACCGCTATAGACAGGGTGGTCTGTATAGACAGGTGGATGTAACACACTGCTGATAACAGGGTTGTCTAGAATGGCCGCTATAGACAGGTGTATGTATCACACAGCTGATAACAGGGTTGTCTAGAGGGGGGCAGGGAGGCCACGTGTTCGCCGGCAGCCAATGGGCGCGCATTCTATCCGTGAACTTCAGACAGTGAGCTTCAGACAGTGAGCTTCAGACAGTGAACTTCAGACAGACAGAATAAGGCAATTATATAAGTAGATTGTTCAAATATATATTTGTTATCTCTACAGTGGTAGCACATCATAATTTCATTATAAGGTGAAATTATACCTATCCTCGGATTTACACGGTAGATACGTTCCTGAGAAAAACGTGTAAATCGAGGGATAGGTGTATATTAAACTGTCAAATCTGAATAGGTGTTTGCCCCCTCATTAATCAAAGCCTCCCAATATTCTTTTCAACATAGGTAGTATAGAGTAGAATATCGCATTTTAATATAGTGCGATAAAAACAAAAAAAAAATATTCGAAAAACCGTGTAAAAGCGAAAACGTGTAAAACGAGTACCGTGTAAATCGGGGATAGGTGTATATTATAATAACATAACTATATTTTTAGCGCGATTAACCTAAAGCTGAAAGAGGATATTTTCCGTGTTATTTAAAATAATATTAAATTGCTTTCTGTTTTAATGTACATCCATAGAGAGCAAAACAACAACTGACTCACCCGTGCAGCCGAGGTCACGCTCCGCTGCGTCACGTGGGGAAACATAGGTAGATGTTTTCTTACATGTTCTCAGCACATCCCCCTTTTTAAGACTTGAAATATATATATACATTACAAACTTTAAATGCATAATATAATTAATAATGAAGGCGATCCACAGGTTTAACAATTCGTCCACTCCGGGTTCTTATCTGGCCGTCTTCTGAGTCGTTAGAGGGATAATCCACAACTGGGGTCTTTTCATTTTCAACCAGTTCCTCCCCCGAAAAGGTCGGCGTCGATGGGTCGGCTGGATATTGCACTGTAACTCCTTTTCGTAGATGGAACCTGTTTCGACGTAAAGTCCCAACTGGAGTATCAACCAAATATGACCTTGGTGTCGATGCCTTCTGCTTTACAATCCCCCAGGTTCGCATATCTGTAATCCAAACAGTGTCACCTTCGGATAGCTCCTCCATGTCCGTAGCTCCGCAGCGTCGATCATATCTGGATTTCATATCCTTTCTCCTTCTCCCCTCCTTTCTTTTCAGGGTCTGAGAGTCCACCAACTTTGGATTAAGATTCTCTGGTGCAATTGGCAAGGTCGTTCGGAGTTTACGTCCCATGAGAAGCTCAGCAGGGCTGTAACCGTTCTCCAAAGGGGTCGATCGATACTCCAGAAGTCCAAGCGATGGGTCTTGATTTTTCTTGAGGATCAACTTAGCAATTTTCACACCTGCTTCTGCCATCCCATTGCTCTGCGGGAATCGAGGACTTGAAGTGACAAGTGTGAATCCGTACTGCCTTGCGAAATTTGCAAATTCACGAGCAGCTCCAAATTGCGTCCCATTATCGCTTACAACAGTTTCTGGTACTCCATGTCGGGCAAATATGGATTTGCAACTACGCACCACCACACTGGCTGTGAGCCGATCCAGCTGAACCATTTCAGGATATCGAGAATAATAGTCAATTACGACTAGATACCACTTATTCTCGAACTTGAACAAATCCATTCCAATCTTTTGCCACGGTCGTGTAGGAAAGTTGGTTGGTATCAAAGGTTCATGTTTTGAGACGGCTTCCTGGATACAGACACTACACTTTCTGACCGTTTCCGCGATCTCTTCCGAAATTCCAGGCCACCATACCGTCTCACGTGCGCGAAGTCTTGTTTTTGTAATCCCGAAGTGCCCAGCGTGCAACTTATCTAGGATCTCCAGTTTCATACTTGCTGGAATAACAAGACGACAGCTACGCATCAGTAGTCCATTTTGAACGCCGAGTTCATCCTTGACATGCCAATAAGAGAGCAGAGCCTGTGACATTTTCTTCTTATCTGGCCAGCCTTTCTCAAGGTAGTTGACTACTGCTTTCAGGGTCGTATCTTCTTGTTGAGCTTCAAATATCTTCGTCAACATCTCGTCTTTGTCGGTTATACTCGAGAGAACTGCATTTATATGCGCTGAGGTTTGCCGTTCGTTTTCACCTCCCTCGGTTGTAAGAAGTGGTTGTCTGGATAATGCATCGGCGTCGAGCAGCTCCTTTCCAGGGATATGCACTATTTCGAATCCAAACCTCATCATACGCATTCGGAAACGTTGCAGTCTTGGGGTCAGCGAACTCAATTCTTTCGTCGAAAATAGAGGAATGAGAGACTTATGGTCGGTCTCAATTCGGAAACGCTTTCCAAGCAGGAAATCTTGAAAACGTTCGCAGGCCCATGTAATTGCGAGAGCCTCTTTCTCGATCTGAGCATATCGTTTTTCGGTAGGTGTCATAGTTCTAGAAGAATAAGCAACAGGTCGCCAGATTCCATTCTTACCTTCTTGCTTCAGTACCGCTCCCAAGCCGTATGAAGATGCGTCGGATGACACCATAGTTGGTTTCCTGACGTCGTATGCTGCCAAGATGGGTTGAGTCGTGAGCAATTCTTTCAACTTTCGGAATGCTCGCTCCTGGCTGCAATCCCCAACGAAGTCTTGACCTTTCACCAACAACTGGTTCAGTGGAGCCACAATTTCAGATAAATTTTCCACAAAGCGTCCCAGATGGTTCACCATGCCAAGAAATCTTCTTACGCCATGAACATCGGTCGGAGCAGGCATCTTCGCCACTGCTTCGATTTTCGCTGGATCTGGTCGGATACCGTCTTCATCCAGTATGTGCCCAAGAAAATTAATTCTTGGCACGCCGAACACACACTTGGCCTTGTTTAGTGTAACTTTCGCCTCTTTCAGTTTTCGGAGCACTAAACGAAGAATTCGATCGTGAGTCTTGGAGTCGGAGGCAAATATCAGGATATCGTCCAGGTAACACATTACACCGTCCATGCCTTGCAATATTATTGACATAACTCTCTGAAAATACTCTGGGGCGAGTGAGATTCCAAATGGCATTCTGCAGTATTTATATCTCCCAAAAGGAGTGATGAAGGTCGTTAAATGCTGGCAGTCCGGGCTCAACGGAATCTGGTGAAAGCCACTGTTCGCGTCCAGTTTCGAAAAGAATCTTGCTTCCCCCAGTTGCCCCAGCATGTGCTCCACCACTGGCATGGGATGCACTTCGCGCTGTACATGTTCGTTCAGCCTTGAGAGATCCACACAGAGTCGTATGTCGCCATTCGGTTTACCAGCAATCACAGTCGGTGCACACCATTCAGTCGCAACGTTAACTTGTGCTATGATTCCCGCCTTCTCGAGCTCTTCCAATCTTGTTTTGAGCTTTTCCATCAAAGGTATTGGTACCCGTCGAGGAGTATGCACAGCATATGGTTTTGCTCCAGGTTTCAATTTGATTTCGTAAGGGTTTCCGATCTGTCCCAGTCCTTCAAATACTTCAGGGAATTCCTTGATCGGGTTAATTCTCGTCGCAACCACTTCAATCCGCCTCGCCAGGTTCAAGAGCTCACATGCCCGGCGACTCAGAAGAGGTTCACTCAAACGACGAATGACATAAATCTTCTCCTTGATTTCATAACTGCCATTTCGCAGCGTTGATATAAACATACCCACAGTCTGAAGTTCGGAGAATTCAGCAGCTCTAAGGTTGATATCACTTTCCACTAGTCGTTGCTGTCCCATTATCTTCTTGAAGAACACAGAGGAACACATGTAACATCCGCCTGGGAGTCGAGCTTGAACTTCAGCTGTTTCCCGTTCACTTGGATTTCTGCTGTCCATCGCCTCCTGCACTCGTCTTCATCATCATCGAGATTAGATGAATCCTCCACAGCTGAGACCTCCAGGAGAAAACCAATTTCTTCATCAAGTTCAGAAACTGCTTTGACTTCCGCAGTCTTCGCCTGCTTATCTGGGCAGCAATTTGCAAAATGGCCAGTTTTTGAACACAGGTTACATTTCTGTCCTTCAGCACGGCAAGCCTGTCCTTCCCTGTGGGTGAAACCTCCGCACTTTGGACATCGTGATCTTGTTTTGGCTGACTTCTCCTTCTTCCTCGAAGGCTGCCGTTGTTGTTTCGGTGATTGTTTCTTCGAGTTGAACTTCACCTGATTGACCTTTTGGCTTGTTGAGGGACGCTGCAGGTCGACTTGCTGCTGTCGAACGGCTTC